AAAGGTACCAGTGAGCTTGATGATAGACCATTCTCCATCCCGCAGCCTGCTGCTCCAGCATCCGCCATGGCTCAATATCCTGCAGCCTAGGTTATACATATGTTCTATTGTAGTCTCCCGTCATTCAATGTGCACTTTTATGTATCGAACACGAACGAACGTGAGCTCTGAGGCTCTGTGGGCGCCATTCTGTTGCGGGGAGATCTCGGATCGGGGCGGATTTCGCATTGCACAAAATCATGATTTCGGTCGTACGAATCTCAGACGAAAACCAAGCCTCAAAGATCACGATAGTCCGGATCCCAAAATTTGCCAGATCTTGAGCTCCACAGTCTCATCCGTGCAGCTGTGTACTCGCTCTGGGAGACTACGTAAAAAGATAAGATCTCCGTGGTGGGAAATGGAATGCGAGTAGATTACACTTCCGCTCGCCACGTAGTCTCGCGCGTGGACGAGGGCCAGCCCTCGAGGCGCTACGTCTTCTCGTCGTAAGGCTGCTGTACCCGGACGACTTCGAGTTCTTCGTGAACCAGCGGATCCCGGACATGCTGGAGACGCTCGACGCTATCGTTTGCCACCGCCGCGGCGCGAACGCGAAGCGGAAGGGCGAGAAGGAGAGGCGGAAGATAATGAAAACGTCAAGGACGCGGATCGTTGGGCAGCACTCTTGCTTTCACCAGTCGCTGCTTCTCGTCACCCGAGATCATGAGACCGTGCTCGCCGACTTTGGTCGCGTGACCCTCAGGCAGGCGCATCACGGCTTCGTGTACGTGCGCCTCGCGCGCCGATCCTCGTCCTCGTCGTTCGCGTCCAGGTGTCCGTACCGGACATTGTGCAGAACGTCCGAGTGGAACAGCCAATCGTCCGGCGCACGCTCTCGACCCGCAGGCTGCCGAGCTCCGAGTCGTCGATGTAGATCTTGCCGGACGAGGGCACGTGATAGCCATAGAGCATGAGCATGATCGTGGACTTGCCGCAGCCCGACGAACCGACGAGCGCAACCTTCTTGCCAGCAGAAATCGTGAAACTCAGGTCGCTGAGGATCGGTCGGTCAGGGTCAAGTGCGAATTGCACATTCTCGAACCGGATGGAGCCACCCATGAGGTCCTCGTTCCTATAGATGTTGCGTCAATCGTATTCTACGAGATGCTTGTAGAGGAACTTGCCCTTCGGCGCGCCTTGTGCTGCGAGGAACATCATCGCGGTCAATACCGCAAAGGGGATGATATTCTGTCCGGAGTCGAGGTACACCAGCGATATCGCAATCTTCTGACCAGCCTTCTCGTACGACTTCAGATGCTTGTCATACTGTACAATCTCGTGGATCTCGTTAATGAAATGCTAAAATCTCTAAATCAGAATCGCTTCCGCGCTCGAGATGCGGCGGGCCTACCTTGACTGCCTCACAGTTGATCAGTGAGTCTACGGCAACGGTGGCAGGCTTGTTATCGGCAGCGCTAGCCTCCCGTCGAAATTGTGTCCTAGCCAGCTTCTGTCGGGTCTCTAAAGCGTTTCTTGGGCTTCGCGGCTTACCTCCAGGCAGCTGTCCGCACTGTATACCAAGTATATGCGCCCATCGTGACCAATGTTATCGCTGCAAAATTCCAGCCCAAAGTGGTGCATCTATTATGCTATGAGCGTTAGCATGATACATGCCGGGTGGCGAAACAGACATACCAAGATACCACAAACAAACGAGATCCCGAATGCTGTAGGTACGATGTGGAATATAGTTGCATGTATGACGAATGTAATACTCTTTCAGAGCAGCGTAAGTAAGTAAGAACGAACAAAAATAACACAACGCACCCAATCCCCTCGCCGATAGCTCGTGTGAGGCATCCAGTTTGCCGAGACAGATGAAATTGGAGGTCGAGGTTGACGCTAGCCCAGATGCTTTACGTGCCACTCTGTGAATAGCACGTTGGCCGATGTTTGCAAGCATAGCGTTTAATGGTTCCCCGGATAGCGTCGCATCGATTCTTGCAGCGCTGTCTGAAGGCTAGTTGATGAGACTCCATCGAGACGAGCTGTTCCCACCTACACCTTAATATCAGAGAGCCAGTAGCAGTCTATACCGCCGCAGATATGTTCAAAGAGTCTACGATGTTCACTAAAAGCAGAGCGACTTGAACGTTGAGCACATAGTCAATCGTCAACCCGAGACATGCCAGAGAGCCTGCAAGCACACCTTTCCGACGACTAAGAGACCTATGCCAACCACCACTCTCGCCTTCGTCGATCAGTCATCCTTCGGCCACAAGTTACCTGACAGCTGCTTAACGATCTTCCAGTCGTTCTTTCGCTGCTGCTTCACGGTAACGTGCGCGGTGTCGTCCGGTGCTACCTTCGAAGGTGACGGCTCTGCCGGAGGTTTCGACGTCGTGCTTGTGGCAGCTTTTGAAGTCTGTTTAGGCGCTTCTTTTTCGTGTTCCACACGAGGATGTTGGAATGAGCGAGGGACAGCCCTGCGGAATCGGAGGGCGGACGCGACATGATCGGAGGCTGGCAGATG